CCGCCCAGGGTAGGGGGTTGGAGAGTGAAAGACTTCTTGCTCCCTGGGCGGAGGCTTGCAGTTGGCGGGCGCGGACCCGGGTGCATCTAAGGGCATGCACGATACCGCCTCCTCCGGGCGCTGCTGGAGTGGAACGGGCTGAGCCTGCTGGGGCGGGAGGAAGGAAGGAAGAGGCCGGAGATCAACTGGAACCAGATCGCTCCTCGCCGGGGCCATCTCGGAGCCAAAAATAACCCTGACGATTTGCATAAGCAGCTGGAGAGAGAGCGCGGTAGCCTCTGTGCCTCTGTGCGCAACCTGCCCGTCGTGGGCCTCACTACTGTACCGGGGGGGGGCTAACACCCAGTCCCAACGGCACTGCGGGGGAAACTGAGGCACGGGGGAGCTGACGTGGGCTGCCCAGGGAGTCTGTGGCAGATGATCATGGGGTAACAGGTCCCCGTCTAGGAGGCTGCCCCATTGCACCCTCGTCCCCTTCTGGCCAGGGGGAGCCATCTGGGGCCCATCCTTTGGCCCAGGATCCTCTCTGCCTTCCCCAGGGCGCTGCCCCAGACCCTCCAACACCCCCCATGCCAGCCCTGTCTCCTGGCCCAGCGCTGCGTGGGGGGTGGATCTGGGTAGGGAGCTCTTGGAGCACAGGAGGGGGCGCATTAACGGCTCTCCGGGTCCCATCGCTCCTCCCTGGCTCCCCAAAGTCCTAGCCGGGCTCGGCAGTCAGAGAAGGTGCTGGGGATCGCTCTGGGAGTGGGGTCTAGTGGCTAGAGCATCAGTCTGGGAGTCAGGACTCCTGGGTTTTAGCTCCAGCTCTGGGAGAGGAGTGAGGTTTAGTGGTTAGAGTGTAGGGGTGGGGCTGGGATCCAGGATTCCTGGGTTCTGTCCCCTGCTCTGGGAGGGGTGTAGGGCTTGATGGGAGAGGGGGCTGGTCTGGCTGCTGCCTGCAGGTCCTGCCTCTCTCTGGCTGCCTTTGGGCTGCAGCGGTGCCCATGCAGAGACAGGCTGGTTCAGGGTGTACCCTGCCTGGGAGTGGAGCTGCCTTCTGCTGGATGCTAGGTTTGGCGAGCTGTAAAAGGGAATCAGCATGTAAGATCGGCCAGACCAATGGGCCAGGCAGCCCTGGATCCTGCTGCCGACATCGAAGGTGCAAGGTGCTTCAGAAGGAACGAACAGAACAGGCATCACCTAATGAGCCACCCTCTGTCGCCCGGTTCCAGTTCCTCGCAGATTTAGGGGCACCCAGAACACGGGGTTGTGTCCCCGACCATCAGGAACCGATCTTGTGCTTTTTAACCCGGTTATACTTTTGGCCTTTGCCACATCCCCTGGCGAGGAGTTCCACAGGTTGTGCGCGGAGGGAAGAAATACTCCCTTGGGTTTGTTTTCAGCCTTCTGTTTGGTGATATCACAGGGTGGCCCCTGGGTCTTGTGCTAGGGGAGGGGGTAAATAACATTTCTCTAGTCCTTTTCTCCACCCCTCTCAGAATTGTGTAGACCTCTGGCATATCCCCCTAGTTACCTCCTACCCAAGCTGACCAGTCCTAGGGCTTTTCTTCTCTCCTCACCTCATCATTTTCAGGGCCTTTCTCTGTCCCTTTCCCAATTCTCATCTCTCTATTTTGAGCTGGAGCGACCAGGCCTGCGTGCTCTGGTAAAGGAGGGGGCGATGGGTTTGTGTGTATGAGGTTTCCTGCTTTCTCATCCTTCCTTTCTCTAGCGGTTCCTACCAGTCTATCTGCTTTTTTGGATGGTCCTGCACATGACTGTTTTCAGATAACAATCCGCAGTGACTCCGAGATCTCTCTCGGCCGGTATCCGCTAACTTAGGCCCTGTCGTTTTGCAGGCAAAGCTGGGATCATGTGCGTTCCTTTGCATTTCTCCGCACCGAATTTCACCGGTGAGGGGAGATCCCTCTTCACGGGCTGCCTTGGACAGCACCAGCGTGAATGATTTAGTATCATCTGCCACCCAGTGCAGCCCCTGGCGGGTCCCTGCTGTGTCCCACTGTCCGCTGACTGCCCCAACCCCGCCCCTTCCAACTGAGGCCACGCCCCTCCCAGGAAGGTGGAGCCCCCCTCTTCCCAACCTAGCCCAGTGGCCCAGGCAGGCTGTGGGCTCCCCTGGATGGGGGACGTTGCGAAAGGCTTTGTAAAACTCCAGGTACCCTGCATCCACCAACTCGCTCTTGTCCTCATAAGTCTTGGCACCCTGCAGAAATTCTAATCGATGGGAAAAGAACCGTGTCCCTTGACAAGACCCACATGGATTCTCGTGTTTCGCTATGTACCTGCTAATTCTGGTCTTTACTGTAGTTTCAGCCAGTTTTCCTGGCACTGACGTTAGGCTGCACCGGCCTGTAATTGCAGCCTTCTTAAAAACAAGTGTCACATCAGCTGGCCGCCGGTCATCTGAGTCAGGGGTGGATTTAGGCTCTCAATTACCTCGAGTTTTGCAGTATTTGTGTATCGTCAAAACGCTTGGGCCTGGCGATTTATTCCTGTTTGGTGAATCAGTTTCTTCCAAAACCTCCTGTGTTCATCGCTAGGATTTGACTTCCAATGTTTAGAGGATGTCTTTTTGCCTCTAGCTGCCTAGTTTACTCCACAGTTTAGCCAGGAAGGCATATTGGGCCCTTTTCCTTGCAGCTTGCAGGCGTTTCACCCTTGGGACTGTTATTTTTCTATGGCTCCCCTTTTTGCTGGTAAAGGCTGCTGCGGTGGGTTTCTCTCCTGACAGGGTGGGGAACTTCAGTGGGCTGTGGGCTCTATCGGGGCTAGTGGTACCTGCGGGGGCAGGGAGGACACAAAGTGGTTCTGTTGGGTTCGCGTCCTGGACCTCTGCGTGCCCCGTAGGGCTAAATTAAGTCTGGCGGCAGCGCCAGGGTGTTGGCCGCATGGCTCTGCTGTGTTCCCCAAAGGGTCAGGGGTGGGTTGGCTCGCCTGGCGGCGTCTCCATCCTTCTCCAGTCCGTCTGTCTGTCCTCACAGTTCCCAGAGTGCGGCTTCTATGGCCTCTACGACAAGATCCTGCTCTTCAAACATGACCTGTCGTCTGCCAACATCCTGCAGCTGGTGCGGGTGGCCGGAGACATCCAGGAGGGAGACTTGGTGGAGGTGGTGCTCTCAGGTAACACGTGCGCGTGCGTGTGTGTGTGCCTGTGCGTCTGTGTGTGTGCGCGCGTCTGTGTGTGTGTGTGCGCGTCTGTGTGTGCGTCTGTGTGTGTGTGCGTCTGTGTGTGCGTCTGTGTGTGTGTGCGTCTGTGTGTGTGCGTGCGTCTGTGTGTGTGCGCGCGTCTGTGTGTGTGTGTGCGCGTCTGTGTGTGCGTCTGTGTGTGTGTGCGTCTGTGTGTGCGTCTGTGTGTGTGTGCGTCTGTGTGTGTGTGTGTGTATTGCTAATCAGGGCTGCATAGAATCATACAATCCCAGAACTGGAAGGGACCTCGAGAGTTCATCGAGTCCAGTCTCCTGCCCCATCCCCTGTGTCTACATACCTGCTGCCCCCTGCTGGGGGGAATGGGCCTTGCTCTGTGCGTGTGTGCGTGTGTGTCATTGCTGGAATGGGCTCTGCTCTGTGTGTGCGTCTGCGCCGTTGTGCAGGGGATGAATTCTGCTGTGTGTGTGTGTGTGTGTGTTCCTGCTGCCCCCTGCTGGAGGGGGTGCGCCCTGCCCCACAAGTGTGTGGGTGACACCAGAACACACTAACCCTCATTTCCTAGACCCTCCCTGGCCCATCCTGTCCAAGCTCTTCCCTGCTGGAATGGGCTCTGCTCTGTGTGTGCGTCTGCGCCGTTGTGCAGGGGATGAATTCTGCTGTGTGTGTGTGTGTGTGTGTTCCTGCTGCCCCCTGCTGGAGGGGGTGCGCCCTGCCCCACAAGTGTGTGGGTGACACCAGAACACACTAACCCTCATTTCCTAGACCCTCCCTGGCCCATCCTGTCCAAGCTCTTCCCACGCAGGCCACTCCAGGCTGGTTCACGCCGGCCAGCGCCGCAGGCTGATCCCGGCCACCTGGCCACGTTCCCTGGAAGCTGAATGCCCGGGCGGTCCCCAGGAGAGATCCAGATGCCGCCCAGCTGGTTAGCAGGGCGCTCACCGCTGCCAGTGTGTGTTTTTACTGCTGGTGCACATCTGCACATGGACAAAATTTCTTCCGCACATGGATGGAAACACTGGGCGGGGCCACAGCCGGGTGGGGGTGCAGTAAGAAGGGTCAGGGGTGGGTTGGCTCGCCTGGCGGCGTCTCCATCCTTCTCCAGTCCGTCTGTCTGTCCTCACAGTTCCCAGAGTGCGGCTTCTATGGCCTCTACGACAAGATCCTGCTCTTCAAACATGACCTGTCGTCTGCCAACATCCTGCAGCTGGTGCGGGTGGCCGGAGACATCCAGGAGGGAGACTTGGTGGAGGTGGTGCTCTCAGGTAACACGTGCGTGTGTGTGTGCGTCTGTGTGTGTGTGTGTGCGTGTGTGCGTCTGTGCGTGTGTGTGTGCGTCTGTGTGTGTGTGCGTCTGTGTGTGTGTGCGTCTGTGTGTGTGTGCGTCTGTGTGTGTGTGCGTCTGTGTGTGTGTGCGTCTGTGTGTGTGTGCGTCTGTGTGTGTGTGCGTCTGTGTGTGTGTGCGTCTGTGTGTGTGTGCGTCTGTGTGTGTGTGCGTCTGTGTGTGTGTGCGTCTGTGTGTGTGTGCGTCTGTGTGTGTGTGCGTCTGTGTGTGTGTGCGTCTGTGTGTGTGTGCGTCTGTGTGTGTGTGCGTCTGTGTGTGTGTGCGTCTGTGTGTGTGTGCGTCTGTGTGTGTGTGCGTCTGTGTGTGTGTGCGTCTGTGTGTGTGTGCGTCTGTGTGTGTGTGCGTCTGTGTGTGTGTGCGTCTGTGTGTGTGTGCGTCTGTGTGTGTGTGCGTCTGTGTGTGTGTGCGTCTGTGTGTGTGTGCGTCTGTGTGTGTGTGCGTCTGTGTGTGTGTGCGTCTGTGTGTGTGTGCGTCTGTGTGTGTGTGCGTCTGTGTGTGTGTGCGTCTGTGTGTGTGTGCGTCTGTGTGTGTGTGCGTCTGTGTGTGTGTGCGTCTGTGTGTGTGTGCGTCTGTGTGTGTGTGCGTCTGTGTGTGTGTGCGTCTGTGTGTGTGTGCGTCTGTGTGTGTGTGCGTCTGTGTGTGTGTGCGTCTGTGTGTGTGTGCGTCTGTGTGTGTGTGTGTGTGTGTGTGTGTGTGTGTGTATGTCTGTGTGAGTGTGTGTGTGTATGTGTATGCCTGTGTGTGGCATCTGAGCCCAGTGTGTGTGCGTCTGTGTGTGTGTGTGTGTGTGTGTGTGTATGTCTGTGTGTGTGTGTGTGTGTGTGTATGTCTGTCGTTAACCGACTTAATGCTTAACCAGCCCTCCCTCCCCCCAAAAACCAGACAGAGCCGCGCTGGGGCCTGCCTGCCCCGAGCGGTGCCCCCCGCCCTCCGTCCGTCTGTCTGTGTCACGCTTAGATCGTACCCTACGTCCATCAGCCGGTCTCACTTACATCGTAGCCTCCGTCTGTCTGTCTCACACTTAGATCATGGCTTCTGTCCGTCTGTCTGTCTCACACTTAGATCGTAGCCTCCGTCTGTCTGTCTTACACTTAGATCACGGCCTCCGTCCATCCGTCTGTCTTACACTTAGATCATGGCTTCCGTCCGTCCGTCTGTCTTACACTTAGATCGTATCCTCCATCGGTCGGTCGGTCCGTCCGTCTCTTACTTAGATCGTAGCCTCCGTCCGTCCGTCTGTCTTATGCGTAGATCGTAGCCTCCGTCCGTCTGTCTGTGTCACGCTTAGATCATACCCTACGTCCATCAGCCGGTCTCACTTACATCGTAGCCTCCGTCTGTCTGTCTTACACTTAGATCGTAGCCTCCGTCGGTCGGTCCGTCCGTCCGTCTCTTACTTAGATCATAGCCTCGGTCCGTCCGTCTGTCTTATGGTAGATCGTAGCCTCCGTCCGTCCGTCTGTCTTATGCGTAGATCGTAGCCTCCGTCCGTCTGTCTGTGTCACGCTTAGATCATACCCTACGTCCATCAGCCGGTCTCACTTACATCGTTCCGTCCGTCCGTCTGTCTTACACTTAGATCGTAGCCTCCGTCGGTCCGTCCGTCCGTCCGTCCGTCTCTTACTTAGATCATAGCCTCCGTCCGTCCGTCTGTCTTATGCGTAGATCGTAGCCTCCGTCCGTCTGTCTGTGTCACGCTTAGATCATACCCTACGTCCATCAGCCGGTCTCACTTACATCGTAGCCTCCGTCTGTCTGTCTCACACTTAGATCATGGCTTCCGTCCATCCGTCTGTCTTACACTTAGATCGTAGCTGCCGTCTGTCTGTCTCACACTTAGATCACGGCCTCCGTCCGTCCGTCTGTCTTATGCGTAGATCGTAGCCTCCGTCCGTCTGTCTTATGCGTAGATCGTAGCCTCCGTCCGTCTGTCTTATGCGTAGATCGTAGCCTCCGTCCGTCTGTCTTATGCGTAGATCGTAGCCTCCGTCCGTCTGTCTTATGCGTAGATCGTAGCCTCCGTCCGTCTGTCTTATGCGTAGATCGTAGCCTCCGTCCGTCTGTCTTATGCGTAGATCGTAGCCTCCGTCCGTCTGTCTTATGCGTAGATCGTAGCCTCCGTCCGTCTGTCTTATGCGTAGATCGTAGCCTCCGTCCGTCTGTCTTATGCGTAGATCGTAGCCTCCGTCCGTCTGTCTTATGCGTAGATCGTAGCCTCCGTCCGTCTGTCTTATGCGTAGATCGTAGCCTCCGTCCGTCTGTCTTATGCGTAGATCGTAGCCTCCGTCCGTCTGTCTTATGCGTAGATCGTAGCCTCCGTCCGTCTGTCTTATGCGTAGATCGTAGCCTCCGTCCGTCTGTCTTATGCGTAGATCGTAGCCTCCGTCCGTCTGTCTTATGCGTAGATCGTAGCCTCCGTCCGTCTGTCTTATGCGTAGATCGTAGCCTCCGTCCGTCTGTCTTATGCGTAGATCGTAGCCTCCGTCCGTCCGTCTCTTACTTAGATCATAGCCTCGGTCCGTCCGTCTGTCTTATGGTAGATCGTAGCCTCCGTCCGTCCGTCTGTCTTACACTTAGATCGTAGCCTCCGTCGGTCCGTCCGTCCGTCCGTCCGTCTCTTACTTAGATCGTAGCCTCCGTCGGTCCGTCCGTCCGTCCGTCCGTCTCTTACTTAGATCGTAGCCTCCGTCGGTCCGTCCGTCCGTCCGTCCGTCTCTTACTTAGATCGTAGCCTCCGTCGGTCCGTCCGTCCGTCCGTCCGTCTCTTACTTAGATCGTAGCCTCCGTCGGTCCGTCCGTCCGTCCGTCCGTCTCTTACTTAGATCGTAGCCTCCGTCGGTCCGTCCGTCCGTCCGTCCGTCTCTTACTTAGATCGTAGCCTCCGTCGGTCCGTCCGTCCGTCCGTCCGTCTCTTACTTAGATCGTAGCCTCCGTCGGTCCGTCCGTCCGTCCGTCCGTCTCTTACTTAGATCGTAGCCTCCGTCGGTCCGTCCGTCCGTCCGTCCGTCTCTTACTTAGATCGTAGCCTCCGTCGGTCCGTCCGTCCGTCCGTCCGTCTCTTACTTAGATCGTAGCCTCCGTCGGTCCGTCCGTCCGTCCGTCCGTCTCTTACTTAGATCGTAGCCTCCGTCGGTCCGTCCGTCCGTCCGTCCGTCTCTTACTTAGATCGTAGCCTCCGTCGGTCCGTCCGTCCGTCCGTCCGTCTCTTACTTAGATCGTAGCCTCCGTCGGTCCGTCCGTCCGTCCGTCCGTCTCTTACTTAGATCGTAGCCTCCGTCGGTCCGTCCGTCCGTCCGTCCGTCTCTTACTTAGATCGTAGCCTCCGTCGGTCCGTCCGTCCGTCCGTCCGTCTCTTACTTAGATCGTAGCCTCCGTCGGTCCGTCCGTCCGTCCGTCCGTCTCTTACTTAGATCGTAGCCTCCGTCGGTCCGTCCGTCCGTCCGTCCGTCTCTTACTTAGATCGTAGCCTCCGTCGGTCCGTCCGTCCGTCCGTCCGTCTCTTACTTAGATCGTAGCCTCCGTCGGTCCGTCCGTCCGTCCGTCCGTCTCTTACTTAGATCGTAGCCTCCGTCGGTCCGTCCGTCCGTCCGTCCGTCTCTTACTTAGATCGTAGCCTCCGTCGGTCCGTCCGTCCGTCCGTCCGTCTCTTACTTAGATCGTAGCCTCCGTCGGTCCGTCCGTCCGTCCGTCCGTCTCTTACTTAGATCGTAGCCTCCGTCGGTCCGTCCGTCCGTCCGTCCGTCTCTTACTTAGATCGTAGCCTCCGTCGGTCCGTCCGTCCGTCCGTCCGTCTCTTACTTAGATCGTAGCCTCCGTCGGTCCGTCCGTCCGTCCGTCCGTCTCTTACTTAGATCGTAGCCTCCGTCGGTCCGTCCGTCCGTCCGTCCGTCTCTTACTTAGATCGTAGCCTCCGTCGGTCCGTCCGTCCGTCCGTCCGTCTCTTACTTAGATCGTAGCCTCCGTCGGTCCGTCCGTCCGTCCGTCCGTCTCTTACTTAGATCGTAGCCTCCGTCGGTCCGTCCGTCCGTCCGTCCGTCTCTTACTTAGATCGTAGCCTCCGTCGGTCCGTCCGTCCGTCCGTCCGTCTCTTACTTAGATCGTAGCCTCCGTCGGTCCGTCCGTCCGTCCGTCCGTCTCTTACTTAGATCGTAGCCTCCGTCGGTCCGTCCGTCCGTCCGTCCGTCTCTTACTTAGATCGTAGCCTCCGTCGGTCCGTCCGTCCGTCCGTCCGTCTCTTACTTAGATCGTAGCCTCCGTCGGTCCGTCCGTCCGTCCGTCCGTCTCTTACTTAGATCGTAGCCTCCGTCGGTCCGTCCGTCCGTCCGTCCGTCTCTTACTTAGATCGTAGCCTCCGTCGGTCCGTCCGTCCGTCCGTCCGTCTCTTACTTAGATCGTAGCCTCCGTCGGTCCGTCCGTCCGTCCGTCCGTCTCTTACTTAGATCGTAGCCTCCGTCGGTCCGTCCGTCCGTCCGTCCGTCTCTTACTTAGATCGTAGCCTCCGTCGGTCCGTCCGTCCGTCCGTCCGTCTCTTACTTAGATCGTAGCCTCCGTCGGTCCGTCCGTCCGTCCGTCCGTCTCTTACTTAGATCGTAGCCTCCGTCGGTCCGTCCGTCCGTCCGTCCGTCTCTTACTTAGATCATAGCCTCCGTCCGTCCGTCTGTCTTACACTTAGATCGTAGCCTCCGTCGGTCCGTCCGTCCGTCCGTCTCTTACTTAGATCATAGCCTCCGTCCGTCCGTCTGTCTTATGCGTAGATCGTAGCCTCCGTCCGTCCGTCTGTCTTATGCGTAGATCGTAGCCTCCGTCCGTCCGTCTGTCTTATGCGTAGATCGTAGCCTCCGTCCGTCCGTCTGTCTTATGCGTAGATCGTAGCCTCCGTCCGTCCGTCTGTCTTATGCGTAGATCGTAGCCTCCGTCCGTCGGTCTGTCCGTCCGTCCGTCCCCCCCCCTCCAGGCACAGCTGGGGTCCCCCCTGGCCCTGTATGGAGAGCCTCTCTTGGCCCGGCCTTGCCCGTGTGTCGTGGCCACCTGAGCTGTGTGTCAGGGCCCTTGTATTGCCTGGCTTGGGGAGATTCTCCTCAGGCTGGTGGGGCAGTGCCTGGGCGCCGGAGTTGGGGGTGATCTGGTGTGTGTCCTCACTTTGCCTGGGCAGTTCAGAGCCATGGCAGGCCCCAGCTGGTCCCACCCCCAAGGGAGCCAAGTGCCCCACCCCTGCCCCATGGCAGCACTAACTGACCCTTCAATGGCCGCTGCAGCGCAGGGTCGGCCGTGCAGCACGACTCCCCTTTTCCTGTGC